AAGCCATTTGCCTTTTATATTTTTAATTTCTGTTTTCCCTTTGTGGGGCTTTGTCATTTGATTTTGATGAGTGGTTAATGCGCACGCACAGCTGCCTCTGTCAGTGGCCTTTAGCCCCCCGCCTCCCTATCCAGGGCTCCAGAGTCAGTGCCCATGATGCTTACGGAGCGATTCAGGCCCTTTCAAAGTCCATGAGCATGTGCCAGCAACCCCAGCCCTGGACATGGACTCAGCTTCACAAATAACCCAGAAGAGCAGTCCCTCAAAGGTCTTAGTTTAGGGTACTGGTTTTTGTTGCGCTGTTTATTTATTTATATGTTTGTTTGTTTGTTTGGGGCAGCACCTGTCTTTCTGACTTTGCTGAGAGGGATGAGAGGAAAAGGAGGGGAAGTCAGGAAGAAAGGCAGGAGGAAGGGTACTACCCCTTTAAAGGGCTGCTTCCCAACACTAGGGAAAGTAGGAACCAGCCATGCATCCCAGCAGCATGGGATTTTTGCTGGAAGGGACCTTAGAGGTCATCATGTCTAAGACTTTCATTTTATAGATGAGGAAACTCAAGCCCAGAAAGATAAAAAAGACAGTAGGAGGCCACACATCTTGTCTGGGGCACAAGCAGGTTTTAAATATTAGTTCTCTGAGTGCAAATCAAGGGCAGACCCAGAGGTGAGGGCTATGGGACTGGAGGCATGGGATCTGTCCCCCCTAAATGGCCCTGAGTTTTCTTTATACCCTTGAGAAGGCAGCTGCTCTACTTCAATAGAATTAGTTTCCTTTGTACTTCTACATACTTTTCTTTATGTGTTTAAAAACATCTTATGGAGAAGGGTTCCGGTGGCTTCATCAGACTTCCAAACATGTCCATCTTCTCTCTCTCTCTCTCTCTCTCTCTCTCTCTCTCTCTCTCTCTCTCTCTCTCTCTCTCTCTCACACACACACACACACACACACACACACACACACACACACACACACACACGGGAAGAACCCCTTAGTGGGAAAGGATATAGGACTGGGAATGCCAAGAATTGGGTTTGAATCCTCACTCAACTATTCATCAGCCTTGTGACTTTAACCAAATCACTTGTTCTCTCTGGGTCTCAGCTTTCTAATCTGCAAAATGAGGAGGCTGAAAAGATAATTCCTATGATTCCTGATTTAGCTCTTTCTGAGTGTGTGAAAATGGAGGAATTACTATGAGGACCTGTACTGACTTTAACATTAACTGTAACTCAACACATCTGAGTGTGGCAGGCCGAGCAGTAGGCTTAGGTTGGAGCAGGTGCCAGGGAATCTGGCATCCGAGTAGTCAGCAGAAGGCACCCTCCCCCCACCATGTGCCCTGCCCCCGCTGCCACCTCCCTTCCCCAGCACCCCCTTACAAAGGCATCTTGCTTCTGTAGGCACTAAGGCAGGTAACCGGACTCCATTCATGAACTCACATTCCCCCAAGGCACACAGAGCCTCAATGGCAGTCCAGGGCTTGCTTCTGAGGAAAAGATTTCACACGCTCCAGCAGGACCTGGGCCACTACAGTCCTTCTAAAGTTACACCTGTCATGTGGAGCTGCTCAGTATGGTACAGTAACAGGATAGGCAGTGGGTGACAAATGCTACTATATTTAGGGTAAGGGAAATGGGCCACACCAAGGAAGGTAACAAGAATTTTGCCCTCCAAAAACCTAGACACCAGCTTTGGGAAGAAATCACATATACACAGCACAGAGAATACGTGGTAGAACTCGCAGAGACTCACCACTTTTATAAAAGATAGTGAGGTTTTTGTTTTGCTTTTCATGACAGTAAGTGTCTGGAAGCTTATCTTTACTATCCATGCACCGATTCTTGATCTTCAAAGCAACTGAGACCACCCATCAGATTCTCTTGGCATTGCTGAGAAGCAACTGGATCTATTTATGCCCACTTTCCAGATTAGAGCTGGGGTGAAGAGAGGTGAACAGCATATGCCCTGCATTTCTGCGGGAGGTAGGTTTAGAGTCAGGAAGAGAAGACAGGTCTCCGTGGCTACCAAGCCTCAGCCCAGCTGAGCAGATCCCAAGCCTCCCATGGGACTGCCAGCATGGCTCACATTGGGAACAAACTGTGGGACAGGGAGTCAGGAAGCCCTAAGTTCAAACACTGCCTCCAACACCTACTAGCTGCATGACCCCGAGCAAGCCAACCTCCCTGAGTCTCATCTTCCTCCTCTGTAAAATGGAGAACATACTGCAGAGTATTTCACTTACAGCACTACATGAAGCAGCCACGACATGTGTTGGCCTCAGAGTCAGGAAAACCTGAGTTCTATCTTGTCTCTGACACATACTTGTTGTTTAACCTGAGACAGATCAATCAATCTCTCAGCGCTCTACAGTGCCAGGCAGGCACCAGTCTGCATAGACAGAGGGACTTCCTCACCAGGGGATCCTTCTACCAATGACAGTGCCCCCCAAAAGTGCCATGAAATGCCTACCTTTATATGATGTAATGTACACACACAGATGGGTTGATAGGGAGATAGGTGTGCCACATTATTGAAACGACTACTCCACTCTGCAATTCAGACAGAATGGACCAGCAACAAAGCCGAAGCCAGTCAACAGAGATAACAGAGATCAGAAGTGAGACCTGCCTCTGAGACCGGATCTAGTTTCGAGGACACTCTAAGTACCCTGATGGTCCACAGGGGAGCTAATGCATAGTGACCTGCACTGGGTGAAATGCCTCCCCTGGGCAATCCACGATGATGGTGACCCAAAAGAAAAGATCATACTTTCCACCTCTATCCTCCACTGTCTTCCACTCCCTACACACACACACACACACACCACACACACACACACACACAATCATTTCAATTTCTGGGATATAGCTTACATCTCGCTTTTCCTCTCACCCTTGTTAAGGCCTCATTTCTGCTCACTTAGACAGTTGTTAATCTTTTATGTGTTGTTTTTTATTTGTTTGCTTCCATCCTTTCCCCACTATAATCCCCTGTATTAGTCATGTCACTCCCCAACCCAAAACCATCAGCCCCTCAACTTTACCTACTAAATACGGACAAATCTTTAACCTAGGCGTTCAAGGTCCCCCTCCCCCATCTGGCTCCAATCTATCTGTATGGTCTTGTTTCATGCTATTCCATTTCATTTCCTCTATATCCCAAAGCCACTGGGCTATCCTCTTTCACCTCTGCCCACCCCAACTCTGTGTCAGGGACATAGCTAGCAATTTCTGCACGTGAAGCAGCACAAACCATGCCTGGTGTAAGGAATGCGAAATGCCCTCAAAGGTGGGCCACTTGTTCCTATGGGCAGCGGGGTGGTTTGAAGATATGATAGCCAGGCTTTTTGTTTTGTTTTGTTTTGTTCTTGTGAGAGAGAATGGAAGTATATTATTTGGTAGCTTCCTATTTTTACAAACTCTTCTTGCTAGCCAGGTGCTGCATACTATTGTTTCTACACAGCTTAAAGACTGCAAATGCTATCAATAGTCCCAAAATTTGTCACCCTGGGACAAAGTCCCCAAGGCCCTGCTCTAGTTACAGCTCTCCTCCACCCCTTTGTTCACACTAAGCTCTCCATCCATGGAATGGCTCCCTCTCCTATTCCAGTCTCCTCGTGTTGAAATAGCACCCTTGTTTCAAGGCCCTGCTCAGATGCCACCTCCTAAGATACCCCCTCAAAAAAACAACTGGTGAAAGTGATCGCTTTCTTGTTGAGCTCTCCTCCCTTGCATCAGAGCTGTTGATGCAGTTGTCCTTCCCAAATTAGAATGTAAGCTCCTTGAGAACAGGACTTGTGCCATGTCTATCTTTGTTTCTCCAAGGCCTGACATAAGCCCCTGACCATGGCAGTTGCTTAACAAATGTCGAATTGAAATCAACCAAATATTTCCCAAGCAGCAGCGATGTGCTCAGCCCTGTAACCAAACACTGCCCTGTTCTGCCATCTTAGGAGAGGGCTGCTTTCTGGAAACTTCCTGAAGCATCTCCTGGTCCTAAGCAGCAGTATCTCTCAGTGCTTCTGCCGCTGGCTCCTGGGTTGGTACCTGGGCACTGTCTAGCAGTTTGGTCTGATTCTGATGCTGCTGAGAAATGTTTCAGGCCACAGAAGCAGAGCTGTGGTTTAAAGGGCATGAGGGAGGGCCAGGTTCTCTCCTCTTAGGCTAACAGAGGAATTCTGCTTGGGGCCAGAGACAGGAGCTAGTGTTATGTTACACTGAAAAGAACAAATTAATCTTCTCTGACTGGTGGGAGGGTTTTGGCCAAAGGACAGGCTAACGGGAAAACCAGCCAGGTCTCTGTGATGATGACACAGTCAATAACCATGCACCGTTGTTCCCTAAGTGCCGAACCAAATCATAAATTCTCCTTAGTCCCCAGAGAGCAGGTCCTACTGATTTGCTGAAGTGGGCTCAAGCAAACCCAAAAGGACCTGGATCTCATGACAAACTTTGAGGTGAATGCCTGGTCTGTTAGGCAGGCAGGCAGGCCTTCTTTTCCATCACTTGCTCTCAGAAGATTTCAGCATTAGGCTGAGCAAACCAGCACTCTGGACTGAGCAGAGATGGCCATGCTGCTACAGACCACTAGCCTGGTTCCTAAAAATGGGCTCTGCTCAGTCTGGCCATCCTTCATTCAGAGTCAGAATCACTTTTGCACATTTTTCTTGGGAGAACAAGAACAATTCTCTGCCCTCGGATGGAGGCGGGGATACATCATTAAAATACATCCAAAGGACACAAAATGCACCAGCAAGGCACCCTTGGAGGTAGAACTCTGTAGGGAAGCCTCAGCTGTGCTCTTCATCACCCCCCCCACACACACAACCCTCTTCCACTTGCCATTCACAAGGCCATAAAGAGAGATGGATCTGAACACTGTCTATTCAAGACCCAGATGAGGGCTCCCAAGAAAGTCAGTCCTAGTCTACCAGTCACACACAACTTTAACCATTTTAGGAGCAGCAAGCAAAGACTAGAAGCACCACAGCAGCAACTCACCCTCTGCATCTTCAGGCCGGGTCAGATCAATGACTCCTGGGCCCAGTTTCCCATCTTCATTTGACTTCCCGTTAACTGAGGGCCCAGATTCTCAAAGTGTGTTCTGTCCTAGAAGAAAGAAGAGAACCCATTAAGCTCACGGCAGTCATAGGAACAGCCATATTTCCTCCCATTTTCATTCCTTTCTTGTTCACTAGATGAAAAGCACAGACTTTGAAACTCTGGCCATGACTAACTCCTGCGACAGAAAGCTTGGAACCTGGTGCAGCCCCTTCCGGCCAATTTGGCATATGGGCCGTATTAAGGACAGCTCAGGTAATAGCCAAGAAACCACAGCCAGGAACCCCGTGAGCTCTGGACTGGCCTGCTTCTCCCTCTATTGGCTTTCCCCCCTTCAACCAAAAGGAATCCAATCAGCCTCTTCCAGCCTGAAACGCAGAACTTGAAAGAGCAATTCCTATTAAAACACACTGCGAAGTTTAATGGGAGAGGCGTTTTTTGCCATTTAGAGATCACAGTTTGCATTTGTACTCCTGAGGAAATACAAGTCTGAATTTTATGCAAGAGGCTTTCAAAGACAAATATTTCAAAGGAGGAATAGCAGATGACAGCGTCGTTGGTACTATTATTTTGCCTAGGAGTTTGAACTGAGCCTCTACGGCAAGTGAATAAGAGACCACTGCTCCTAGCAAAGCAGGGGGCCCTGGAGAATTCAGACCTGCAGGGGACCTGCCAGTGTGGGAGGAAAAAGGAAAGAAAGGCAGTTTACTTGTTAACCCAGTTCTTCAAAGGATTCAGGACCTAGGACACTCCAAGGGATCAACAGAGCTGGGGTTGTATGATGGGACTCCAGGCAGCGACCCTCCCTGTGTATCAGTGGCAAAGTGTTCAGTGGTTATTACTAATTTAGCGTTCTTGTTTGCAGGAGCAGAAGAAGTCCTGTTTCCCCCAACACTCCCCCCACCTCCCCAAGCCTTGTTGCTTCTTTAGACTAAAACTTGGCATTACGTTGTACTTGTGAATGAACGAAACCTTGTGATACATTACTACGAAACAGTATTAAATGTCATGTCAGCTTGAATTTAGAGACATGAAATACCAGCTCCCGTCTCCACACCGGCCCAGCTTCTGCATGTTCTTCCTAATGTATTATGCAGCCCCAGAGTGCCAATTGCTGTTCAATCTATTGTTCAGTGACCTAGTTCCGTACTGAGCCATGCTAGGCATTCGATGGAAACGCTCCGAGTTTTCTCTTCATCGAGATGTTTAGAAACTTGGAAATATCCTTAAAGAGCAAACATACAATTACTTGATATCTGCTGTGCCTCATTTGTACAGTTTCAATACGTTTCTGCTTTCTAATATGATTGTTTTTTGAATATCATTATATTTCTATAATTAATTCCCATCAGTCAAATTGTGCAGGAAGCTTTCCCATTCCCCTCAGCACAAAATATGTTTAAATTGGCATTGAAGGAAGATATGGCACAAACCTGGCTCTATAAGCCCTCGTTCGCTGGAGAATTTGTAGGTGGTAAAGTTGTCCGAGGACTGTCTTGGTTGGGGAACAGTGGTCACAAAAAAAATAGTGACCCTTCATTTTTCCAACTAGGGTAAAGGCTAACGCAGAAGATTGAGGAAGACATGGGACAGCTTTCCTAGATACAACATCTGGAAAAAAGGTAAATGAAACCAAGAGTACAATCCCAAGTATGATCTGGTGATGTCTTCTTTCATAAAAATGCAACTGTGCATGGGTGGCTAAGTGTGCAAGGCCCACTGGCCCGATACAAAATAAAGCAACATATAATAAATGCAAGCAGCTAAATGTTATATGTAAGTCATGGGGCCAGTGATTTCTAACATCTCAATGTTCAGGTGCCAAGGCTTAGATTTGCAGGAGGGGAAAGGGAAAAAAAAAATTAAAGCAACCATAAGCACCAGGAAAGGAAAATATTCAACCTTTTTATCACATTGTTTCTCATTGCAAACATTTGCATTTGAATGGTTTCCCCCACGTTAAATGCAAAAGGGGTTCTGCGTGACACCTGCAATCTTCTTGGCAGAACAACCTTTGCTGTGTTTTTGCAAGGGGGGGAGAACAACTTTCTACTCTGAAAATCACCAGACTGTGCTACCCATCAATATGCATATTTCAAGGATCTTTCCAAGTCAGTCATTCTCTTTGATTTTACCAGGAAATATTCTCTGTTAAAATAAAATAAAATAAAATAAGTTCCTGAAAGAATATCAATATTTTGACAAGGAAGGAGAAGAGGGAAAATTATATGCCATGGTGTATAAAATCCTAAGACAACAAAGCTTACGTGATGATAATATCTTTTCTCTTTTAAAAAAAAAAAAAAAAGGAATACTCTCACAATTCAGTTCTATGAGCCTGTTTTTTATCGTAACAAGGAAAAAAAACATTTGGAGTCACCATTCACCAACATGAGCACACGTATGCGCATGCATGTTTCCACATTCATTCTAAATGCCCTTGAAATCATTCATTTCTCTCACTTCGTTCAAAACAAATTTTTTTGCAGTGAACCTTTCTCATAAAATATCAACATTTTGGCCAAAGGAAAAAAACCCACAAAGCTTTCATTCAATATGGGAAAAAATAAATCACAGATGAGACAGTTTTGACCAGTGTGTAATATTTCATATTTTTCAATATTAATACTATTCTTCTTGCCTTTGAGCCTACAGAAAGAGACTGTCGAGTTCTGACCTGACAGAGAAGCTTCCCTGAGCTCCCCAGAAGAAAGGCATCCATTCGGCCTTGCTTCAAAGAACAGTGGAGAACATTTCTTTCCCAGCCACACCACTGTAAATAGTAGAGCACCCCGTCACTGGAAGAGAATAGGTATCTGACTCTAGGCAGCTGAGCTAAGCCAAGCTTGCTCTGGTGCAGTTGGACACCAAGACTCATAAATAGTGGATATGGCCACAGATGCAGAAAGATTTCCATTCTATAACATGTCAACTTTGGGATCAGTCTATTGAGGAGAATTCTGCCAACAGGAGAACACTTAGACTGTGTGTGGCAAAATGTTTGCTAACCCCCATTTTCTTCCCACCCTGGAAGCTCTCATCGGGCTACAATATTTGTAGACAATTTGAAAATGGCGATGATGTTTCATTGATAATTTCATCCTGTCTTCCCCACCCACTTCCCCACCACCACCACCCCCAGGACAAACACCCAGGCTTCTGCCTGGCAGCAGAATGTTCGTTTTTACGTGCTGGGCCGTGATTAGACACTTATTTATGCATTGTCAGTCACCAACATGCAGGCAACATAAAAGTTATGGAAAAAAATTAAAGTCAGCTCTGCTGTGTTGGTAGGTCTGTTGGCTCTCTAAGTGCTTTGAAATTGTGATGTATGAGGTAGATGCTGCATATTAAATAAAGATATTTAAATGATAAAGCCCCCTTTAGTGAGAGCTGATGAATGTTAAACGTTACAGGCCACAAGCCAGTTGCATCCATCATCTTCACCGATTATTCCAGCCAATGCTGGGCCGGCTCAGTGATGACAGATAGACTGCTACATTATTATCCCTGATTTCCAGAGTCACTGAACAAACCATCCAACCCCTTGGGCATTATTTTTAACTTCACATGAAATTAGCAACTTTTCCCCTCACTGTCTCAGCAGGGATGGCTTCTGAGCAATTTGGCCTCTGCATCTGGGCACTGGGGAAGCCTGGGTTTGGGACAATCGGGAAGAATCAGGGGTGGTTTTCTTCCACAAACGCAGGCAACTTCCTGTGACTGGCAACAAATGTAAAATTGTGATCTTGGGGAAAGAAGAGCCGTGAACCAGTAAGCACACAATAATGGCTTTTCTTTGCACTTAGATAAAAGCTGAATTTTTGATGCGCACAGTATATTTTAATAAAATTTTATATACTATGTTTTATACACTTATTGGCTATTCCATAATAATGTGTGTGCTAACAGTAAAATTGCTCTTAAATTTATGTGTGTTATTTATATGTTCCCACGTAACAATGCTTTTTGTTGTAAAAAAATATTCTGTTTATTAATGTAACTTTACAGCCCCTGCATCTGAGATCCGTGGTAAATTAATGACATTTTTATTATTTTATAGAGTCATTAAATTTTTACTGATCACTCCATCAAACCAAGGCAATAAAGACTATAATGTAAACTGGGACACTTAGATCAAGGGAGCAGGAAGACATTCCATATAGGCTGAAGCAAACGGCTGGCTATAAATGATATTTATATCATCTTTAAGCATGGGAGAATACTTGGATAAGTTTGGCAAAACTGTTTCAGGAGTAGAGTGGATGCTGTGCTTAAATAATAGTTTACTTTCCAGCGAGACAGGCTTTTTTCAAACCATATGCAAGAAGATGACTGATTGCAGCCATCTTCCACAGAGCAATAAATGGAATGGAACCATACACTGGACACTCCTCCCTTCTGGATTACCCAGTGTGATTGGGCTGTACCCGGGCTTCAAATGATTTCCGCATGCTTCCCTTTGCTGTGTCTAAAACTGACGCTGAAGACAGAGAAGGAAAATGTCAGGCACCTTGAATGTCCTTTAAAATATTTTTAATACTTCTTACAAACAAATCAATTTCATTTAAGCCTAGGTGACTGGACAATGATGCAATTGCCCTCAGTTTCAAGAGTCTTGTTTCAGAGGCCATTAGATATGTTTTGTTTTTTTTTCTCCCAAAAGCCAGCATCTAAATATTGACTTAATATAGGTCATTCACAGAAGCCACAGAGCCAATGCCCAAGTGGCCAAAGGGGCAGTTTATATACACGCAAAAGTGTACATACACTTACGTATATCTACATATGCTACAGACAATATTCTAGTTACAATGGGTACAAATAATTATGTCAAATTGTCTTCACATTTAAATTACATTATAATTAGGTTACTCTACACTGTCTTAAATAAACCCATATGTGGGTTATTAGTTAATTGCCATCTATATTCTGTTTATATAGAGGAGACAGTAAACAAAAACTGCTGGTCTCTGGTACTCTCAAACTTGAAATGTGCAATGTGCTTTGTGAGATTTGTACAGGCTTTTCATTTAAATTTATGGGAA